AAAAAAAAATCCCTACAACAATCTGGGGCTAGTGCAGTGCAGAGACCGCTTGCCTGGCCTTCTGGCCAGCAGCCTCCTGTTCTTCGTTGTGTGCACTAAGAAGGAGTGACACAGAGGCAATCAGCAACAGGGAGATCCTGTGCCACCTTCTGTCACAACTGCAGGGAGCATGGACAAAGGGGTATTTCAAAGGTGACAAGTCAAATGCTGCATGCAACATCGCCATAGCATGGCAGCCACAGCGGGGAGATGGTGCTTGGTGCTGTGGTTATGGCACTGTGGTGATGCTGTGAGCTGGCACTGAGCCCCAAAAGTGAGCAGTGGGTGGCAAATGCTGTGTGGCAACTCCTACAGCAACTGGGGAAGCTGGGGCTTATGTTGAAGGCGATAATTAAAGATATTCTTAAAGAGGAAAAGTATAAACAAAAGGTAACCTGCTAATTTAAATGACCCAGACATAGGTTTGACCCTGAAGACAGTAAAGACCTTGGAGCTGCCTTTAGTGGCTTACAGCAACATTCTGCTGGTATTATGTATAGCCAGCACGTCAGAGCAACAGTGTTCTGTACTTGAGATGCTGGTTGCACGTTCCCACTCTGAAGTAATAGCCCCTCTTGTGTAAGTTCCTCCTGAGTGTTGGGATTTTTTTTGGCACAATCTGGACAGCACAACCTCCTTGCACAAGCAATGCTTTGTGCTGGTCTCCTTTTACTGTGGCTCTCTCCAGACATGCAGTGCGTCACGGAGCAACATTACCCTGGGGAATTTGAACAAATTCATCCTAATACTGCAGGGGTTGTGTACATTTGCCAGAGATGTAGATTTTAGCAGCTAAATCCTGTCTTCTTTTGCTCCTACAGTCAGCCCTGCTTTTTAATGGGTATAAAACTTTTAAACTGGTGTAAAATTATTTATTATCCCATTGAGTATAACTGTACAATTGAACTAAGGCACATTGCTTTATTGTTTCAGCAAATTCTTCAGTTTTCAGGGAGAAGAATTTTTGGCTCCTGGAAAATATATGTCTTTCAGTGGACTGAGACTGAGCTTGCTGACACTTTATGACTGTATTCTCTTTGTTGCCAAATTAGTATAAAAAA